ATAAGAGGGAGGACAGCTGTGGGACCCCAACATCTGCAAAGCTCTAATTAGGTCACTAAATCCATCAATTCTTTGGTTAAGGTTTAGGTTTCTTAGCAGTGCCCAAACTATGTAGAAACTATAGAAACTTTCTGCTAAAAGCCCGGAAAACAGATGGTTATGAGTTGCAGCAACAAAGCTAGTCTTCGTTTAATGACTACAACTGGGACTGGCAGCTGTCATTAAATGAAATGGTTGCTAAGTGGAAAATCATGTGATGGCAACCATGCTTTCTTTCCCTGTTCCCCTTGGAATGCTCACCTTGGCACTGAGATAATTAGCTAGAAGGGAATTGTTTGTATTTACATTAATTTGGAGTAAGCAAATACAGGCGGTCCTCAATTTACAACAACTGAGCCCAAAATTTGTTGAGATATTTGTTAAGTGAGTTTTGCCCCATTTTACAACCTTCCTTGCCACAGTTGTTAAATGAATCACTGCAGTTGATAAGTTAGTAACACGGTTGTTAAGTGAATCTGGCTCCCCCCCCTATGGACTTTGCTTTTCAGGAGGTCGCAAAAGGGGATCGGATGACCTTGGGACACGGCGACCATCGTAAGTATGAACCAGTCATCAAGCATCTGAATTCTGATCACATGATCATGGAGATGCTTCAAAGGTCACAACTGTGAAAAATTGTCATAAGTCACTTTTTTCAGTGCCACTGTAACTTTGAACTGTTATTACATGAGCTATTGTAAGTTGAGGACTACCTGTAATAAATAAAAAACGAATAAGATCCATGGCAATAGTTCTACTCAATAACCAAAAATATTTTAAGTATTTTAATTATTTTTAATTTGTTTTATATGATAAGCTGCTCAGAGTCAATTGTTGAGAGGCGTGCCTATGGAAATAAAAAAGCAAATAAGTAAAAAAGCAGGCACACAATGGGAAATATATTGAGCTGTTTGAATGATGCGCTAGCAACTGCCAGTGCCAGTACATTGTTTTTTATGTGTATTCCCCATTATGTATCTGCTTACTCTCTTCTAATCCCTCCTTCTCCAATCCTTCTGGTCTGCAAGAGAGGAGAAAAACAACAGGTCAGGGACACGATGGGTACTGACAGTAATACTGATCACGTGATCCAGGGACACCATATATCATAAATGTGGGCACTGGTCATAAAGGGTTTTTTGGGGGTTTTTTTGCACTATTGTAACTTCCAACAGTCACTGAACAAGGCAGTTGGTAAGCAAGGTCTACCTGTATGCTTACTTAAAATGCAACTGTTTCACATCTCTCCTGCCCAAACACTCCTCTCCTCTCCGCATATTTGATTTTGATGAAATATTCTACCTGTATAAGTTGCCCTAAGGAATGTCTCTCTTTTATCAGGAATCACTTTCTGTCTTCTCCACTTGTTTTCTGAGGTTGCCAGTTCTTGGCCTGTCCGACTTCCTCTCACCTGTAAGCCATGACAAATGCCACCAGCCTCCGATAGAGATCGAGCGTGTGCACCTTTGGGTTGAAGAGATCTGGGTGGGCCTTTAGAAAGGGCAAGATGATAGAGGAATACTCCATCTCAATATTGGCCAAGTCTTTCTCCACAGCTTCGAGGACTCCTGTCCCTTGCAGAAGCCGCGCCCGCTCTTCAGGACCCCTATACAAGAGAGCCAGCAGAAAGAACAGCTCCCTCATTGGAGAAGGATGCCATATTAGGAGACATCCTTGTATGTCTAACCACAATTGGCCAAATAACGTTTTACATTCTATTCTATTACAAAAAAAGAAACTATGGGGGTTGGGAAAACTTGCTGGTTCTTCATATATCCATTTCACACTGATAGAAGTAAAGGAAAGGGCTTCAAAATTTAATATTGAAAGAGAAATTTAAAATATAATTTGCTGCAATGGAAACTTACTGCCTGAACAAACAAGCTTACCAAAAACTAATGATGGCTGGGAAACAGGAAAGGAGAGCATAAAGGCAGGATGTAAGATAAATATGTAGGCAAAAATTAGCTGGGTCTTAGAATGGGAAAGGAAGAAAACAAGCTATAAAAACATCTGTAAGAGAAAATGGCTAGCCAGGAAAACTTAAAGCTAAACTGAAAAACAGGAAAGAACCTATTGTTCTAAGGGGCCCAGAACTCAAACCCAACAATTGAATGTGTCTAATATTTTACATTATTAATGTACATGTGATGTATGATTTAGTATGTAGCAGGAAATAGGTAGGAGGCGGTCGGAAAGAGTCCCTCAGCCAATGGGGAAAGAGGAGGGATGTGGCAGCCAGACAGGGCTGTATAAAGAAGGGAATATTTTGGGTTGAATCTTTGGAGAGAACCAAGCTTTGATAGCTTCTCTCCCCGCTTATTGCAATAAAGGAAACAAAAGGCCTTCACTGGGTCTTAGCTGGTTATTGGTCAGGCGAGCTTGCCTCTAGTCATGAAGGAAAGTAGCCAGGAGCACATAACAACACTTAAACACAGCTTTTGTATCCGCTTTGCTGAGAAATTTTAAGTTTAGCTTCTGATGGGAAGCAGCTTTCATAACAGAAGGAAGATAGCAAAAGATGAGTGGAAAGGGGGGAAGTCTTAGAAACAGTTAGGCCTCTGAGAAGCAGCAGCTTTGAAACAGCTGCAGCTAAAATGGCTACCACAGACATAGCCAGTTTTCCAGTTTAATTAGCATCTTAGACCAAGCCAAGTCCAGAAATGTTGGGGAGTTCCAGGAAGTTTGGCATTCAGACAAATTAGCCCCTCTGTCTCTTTCTTCACCTTCCTTCTTCTTAGTCATGGGTCAGATCTTGTTATCTGCTTTGCCTGCTATTTTTTTTAATGTACTGTCGATGTAATACTTTGCATTAGCACACGTCTTTTCTATTTTTCATTTGGTCTTGTAGACCAGCTTGGTCTCTCCAGTATTCTGTAGGCTTTCCTGGTATACTAGCTTCCGTGCATCTTCTTCACTGTCTGAACACTTGCTACCTCTACACAACACAGGAGACAGGTAAAGAAGCCAACGCAGCAGCTCCTCTTACCAGAACATGGGGTGATCCAAATCAGTGAACTGGGGCCAAAGAGAGAAATAAGGCCCCCAACAGGAATTGCTAACTGTGGATTCGTAGAGGAGAGAAATCAGGAGAGGAACCCAGCCGGATGCGCTCTGAAGGGAGGCTTCTTCTAGTGAAGGCAGAAAAAAGGAAGGAGAGGCACATCAATGGAGGGAACGAGTCCCCCCCCTCCAGGAGCCTCTTTTTCACCCTCCTGTGGGGCAAAGGAGTCTGTGAAGAATACAGACTTCTTTTCCCTGGGATGGAAATCTCCCTGCTTGGCGGAATAGTTGCATTTGCTTCCACCCCACCTTCCCTGCAGGGGCGCAAGGGGTCTTCAGCCGGGCTGGCAGACAGCGACTATGGCACCAGACCCACCGCATCGCCCGGCGGCGGCCCCAAACACGCTCCGATCCCCCCTCGGCACGAGCAGCGCGGGAGTCTTGGGGGGCGCCGGTACCTTTCCGCAGGAGGGGGGCGAGGGCGCTGGTGTGCTGGGACAGGAGCGCCGTCCTGGGGACGCGGAAAAGCTCTTCGCCGGCTCCCAGGCTCTCCCTGGCCAGCAGCCCGTAGGCGGCCACGGTGCCCTCACGGCTCACGCCGACCTGCAAGCCAGGAGAGGGCAGCGGCCAGCAGAGGAGCTCCCCGCCCGTCGACCCCGAAGGAGGAGTCCCAAAGGAAGGCGGACGCGGACCGGTGAAGCTCCCCGGCCCCGTTGCTCCCGTAGAAGGGCTCGGAGCTTCAAGCCTCCCCACCCCCCAGCCGCGGCTGCCGGGCTTCTGCTCAGGCCCACGTGCGGAAATGCAACGCGCGGGTGGACGCGCTCAGAAGTTCCTCGGGCGAAGGATCCGAGAGGGGCGTCATGAAACGGGCTCCTGCAGGGGCCCCCTCGGACGCCAAGCCGAAACCAGGCCGGAGCCCCGAGGGAAGACCCAGGACAAGCGAGGGCGGCATGCTGGGAACCGCCTGAAAGCCGCACAACTCGGACTCGGGGCCGCGGCACCTCCTCCCACCAGAGACCCCGGCGCCGGCCTACCTTGGCGCTCAACTCCACGCCGGCCGCCGCGCACCAGCGCAGGAAAACAGGCAGGGCGCCCGGGGGAGACGCGGGGCAGACGCGCCGCGCCCGCTTCGCCGCGCCGGCCATGGCCTTCGGAAGAGACCGGAAGGAGGAACGCGGAAGGAGGGCAGCGGGCCGGAAGAGGAGGAGGCGGCTGAGGGGGCGGGGCCGGAGACCCCAGGCGCCGAGCAAGGACCCCCGCTCGTCCCCCCCCCTCCCGTGGTCTGGCGTCCCGGCAGCCCCTCCGCTCCCCCCACGAAGCGCCGCGAGGAAATGAGCGAGAGCCGCCTCTGAGATGAAGATGCGCCGCTTTAATGTGTTCCAAGTCTACGATGCGCTGCACAACATGACAATTTGGGCGGTTTCCGCCCCGGAGCCGGAACGAAAGATGCACGCGAGCGTGGTGGCGCCGGCCCCGCGCAGGGGATGGACGCCGGTTCTGGCGATGCGGGAGACACGACGCGCCCCCGGGAGAGAGCCCCCCCCCGGCCAGGAGCAGCCCTCTACAGCGCGGGGGGCGTTCCAGGGCGGCCCCTGCTCCACCCGCGGGCCGGGGGCGCCCTGCTGGCTCGCTGGGGGACGGGCGGCCGGTCCCCGCGGGCAGCCTTGAGACTCCCCCGAGCTGGGGCGGGCGTCGCTTGCCGTCGACCGGAAGGGAGCGGAGAGGAAGGGCTCGAAGGGGCCGCCCAGCCAGGCTCTCCACGGGGACTCCCTGCTCCACACGCAAAATGAACCAGGCGGTTCCCCCCCCCCGCGAGGAGGCTCAGAGTCGCCTTCCTCTATCCCAGTGTTTCTCAACCTTGACCATTTTAAGGCATGTGGACTTCAACTCCCAGAATTCCACAGCCAGCATTGCTGGCTGTGGAATTCTGGGAGTTGAAGTCCACATGCCTTAAAATGGTCAAGGTTGAGAAACACTGCGGTCTATCCCCTCCCCCGGTGGGACAGCAAGCGGGAATCGGCCTGACTAGCAGCCTTCTTGGATGAGAAAGAGCTTCCGACTTTCCTGCCCAGGGCTCCTGCCATCATCCCCCGGCCTGTGTTTGTCTTCTTGGGCCCCTTTCCTAGCCTGGTAGAGGGAGTTGCAAGAAGCTGCGCAGGAACTTTGAAGGGCTGGAAGGTTCCTGCCTGCATTACTGTGGGGCTCTGATGCCCCCCTGCCCTCGTTCAAGCGCTTTGGTGGAGGTGCAAATGCTGCTGACCCACCCCAGCCAGCACTCCTCCCCAAGCCAGGTGGGAAAGCTGCTAGGAGGGCGGATCAGCGCCATACTGTCCCCTGCAGTGGAAGCCGAGCTGTTGACGAGGATCAAGCGGCTTCAGAGAACCTAGACTACAGCCATTCTTGGAACGGATCTCCCCTTCCCTCTGACCAGGGGCTCCTGCTACACCCTACTCTGAGCCTCTCAAGCAAGGCCTCCATCAGGGGCTGCCTGCTGGGGCCATCGCTCTGGTACCCAGGCAGTTGAGGGCAGAGGAGAGCCTAAGGGTGGACCCTCTGGGGGACTTTCCCCACAAGCTTATGCCTGGCCTACTAAGCAGCTCTTGCCCCAGCGGCTAGAATCAACTGCAGCTCGAGTCTGCTGGAGCTGCAGCTGGCTCAGCACTTGAGTTACAGATCAACTTCTCCAGGCACAAGAGTTACAGATCTTCCCATCCCCACAAATGGCCAGGAGCGAAGACTTGCTGGGGATAAATACTGGGCACCCCAAACAGAAGCTCCAACATCCACCACTGCAACCCAGTGGGAAATACCCTCAGGCTGGCCAATCCCAAGCTGTGCCCTGCTTACCTCCAGGCTCTGGGAAACAGGCTAGGGCCAGTTCTGTTGCTACAAGGAACCAACGGGGCTGCTTGTGAAGGATAGATTGGAGCAGGGGAACATGGCTACTGTAAAATGGCATCTCTAACAAACAGGAAGGCAGGCTTGGATTGAATGCTGCTGCTTCCTGCTGTAACTTTGTAGTGGAATTGGGAGAGATGGGCAGACAAGGTAATGGAAGCCACGAGAAGCAGCAAAAACAGTGGCTGGCGAGTGATGCAATGATGGATGGCCACAGCTCCCCGAACAAAGATGGTGGCCAAGGGAGGGCATCGGGGACTCTCAGCAGGACACCTCCATGGTGTGGTTGATCTGGCCCATAGCTTCGCTGCTTTCGGAGTGGGTGCAGGCTCTGGGACGGTTGCCATCCACCGAACTGGCGCTGGTGAGGGAGGCTGTGCGTGAACGGGCCAGGCGCGTCATGCTGGCCGAGGGCACTGCAGAGAGGCAGAACAAGGGTCACTAAGGCAGCTGGGCAGAGAGTAATTCAGGCACTTGAGAAGAGCCTAGGGAAGCAGCATTCTGCCCTGCCTTGTTTGGAGCATGCCGGGATTTTGCTCGGAATGGTGGAATGGGACAATCTGCTACAGCCAGCTCACCCCAGCCGACTTGCCACAGGGCAATTCACCACAGGACAACTCATCACAGGAGAATGCCAGAGGAGAGGGGAACCTCCTCTTCCTCCGCCTCCCCATTTCTTTCCCCTCAGTCCAAGCTACAGAGGAGGAGGTTCCCCTCCAGCATTCTCCCATTACATTAGACTGATGCAATTAATAAAAGAAATTGTCCCACAGCAAGTCAGGCAAGGTGGGGCGAGCCAGCAGCGGTGACTTGTCATAGACCCTCAGTATGGATCCCAGCATCCGTCCACTTGCCTGTTTTGGAAGGTGAGCCTTTCTGGCAAGCTCTGGCCCTACAACCTGAGCTGGACTTTTGAGCACTCATAAGGGCTGGGGGGCTGAGTTCCTTGCGGTTGGCCAGGCTGGCTTTGGCTGCCAAGAGGAAGAGCACCAGGCTGCTTCTCCCCAAAGGGTGGCAGCCAATGACTTGGGGCGCAGGGCCCCAACTGACAGAACTTTTCCAATATCTGGAACCAAATGGGGCCCTCTGTGGCTCATCTCACTCCAGGCACTAAGGAGGAGTGTCCCCCATGTCTCTTCATGGCAGCAAAATGGAGAGGAACATCAGCCTCTCCACAGAGGACAAGGGGCCCTGTACTCCCCTCTGTTTATCCCCAGCCAATGGCCCTGAAAATTATTGTCCATCAACACCTGGAGAGCTGTTGCTTATCGGATTGGAAATGGGGTCCCTTGGATGCCCCCCCTCTTGACTTGGCCATCTTTGTGGGAACTGTTGGGGAACCCCCAGAGCAGGTCCCGTGCAGAAGCCACAGCGGGCAGGACACGGTCCACTTGCAGGCAGTGTGTGGCAGAGGAGGGGGCATATACAGCAAGCAAGAAGGGAGCAGATCCTCTAGGGCTGCCCGTACCTGTTCCTCCACTCAGTCGCCGGTCCTTCAGGTACGCCACTGAAAAAAAGGTGGAGGGTTGAACAGGAGGCAAAAGGCGAGACAACTCTGGAGAAGGGGTGGGATGACAGGGACCTTCAAGATGTGGTTGAGCCCTGGCCAAATTGGGCCACTGGACAAGGGGCAGTCAAGAGCTCAGGCTGAACCAAGGAAACGCATTAGGCGCTCTGGGCGTTGTGCATCTGGATGCCCAGGTTGGCCTGCTCTCTTATTTCCCAGTGGTCAGCAGACATGCACAAGGTGCCTGGCAGAAGGCGGCCCCCACCAAAGAAGCCTGCCCTCCTTGGGAAAAGGGGCTGTGGGAGCTGCTGGGAAACTGGGGGACTCCTGACACCCTTTCAAGAAAGCTGGATAGGAGGCCAAGCCCCATGGGGGGGGGGGAGAGCATTTCTGCTTTGTTTCAGCATTCCAGCATGGATAGAGGTGGGAGGGGCCGTTTGGCTCCTGTTACCTCAACCTCCCTAGTTTGTCCCAATGTGGCTGCTGTGGGCACAGGGACCAATGCTCCTTCTTGTTCAGCTGATGGAGCAACTGAGCAGGGCCAGGCAACCCAGCCTCTGGAGGAAGGTCACCCATTTTGGGGGTCTGCTTGAAAGAGGAGAGTGGTATTTGGCCCCATTTCCTGTCCCTTCAAAGCAGGTCTTGGAGACCAAACACTCTCCAAGCTGGACCCACAAGAGAAAGCAAGCCCAGCTGTAGGGGCTGCTGTTCCTCCATGCAATTTGGGCAAATGGAGGATGGTACCCAAGGCCACAGCTCAGATTCAACAGGTCTTGGCCTGTTTGGGGGCCAGCCATGAGCCCCTCTCCAGCCAGGCCACCGGCTTCCCTTCCCACATGCTGACCCAAAGCCCAGGCGGCCTCACCATAGCCCATTCCTTGCAGGAAGTACTTGAACGCCTCAGTCAGTTTCCCAGGCTGGTAAGAAAACAAAAGGACAGCCATTTGTACAGAGTCTCCTCCTTGTGCAGGGAGGTGGACTATAAGACCTCCAAGGTCCCTTCCAACTCTGTTATTCTGTTAAATAAACTTTTGGGATGTTTCATATTCAAATCCAGTCTGTGAATTTAAATTCTATTTGATTTCCACCACCAATGGTACAAATTTTCCATCAAAACCAAAGAGGGAAGAAAAAAAAACCATGAAATGTTCAAAGTCGATAGAGCTTTTTCTGAACTCAGAAAAGTTGAGAGGAGGGCCTCTGACCAAGGAGCCGTAGCCCACTTCCCAGGGGACCTGCCTGGCCCACCAGGAAGCCAGACCAGGGGGAGGCAGGCTTGGTTCTGACCCAGCTCCAGGCTCCTCTACAGGCAGGCTACTGTAAGCAGGGGAGCTTACCTGAGTCACTTGGGGAAGCCCTCCGGAATCGGCCATCTAAGAGGAAAGCACAGGTTGTGTCTGGGCAGGCTGCTCCTGCACTCAGCGTCCCCCCCAGCCCACCCCCAGACTGGCCCTGCCTGCTCTGGCCCTAAGGGTGGCTGCCTTAGGGAAGCGCTTGGATGTGGACGTTTACGCTGATGATGGAAAGGAGCTTCAGACATGAAGATTTTCTGCCCCTATCAAAATTATTTGGGGGGGGGGGGAACCAAGGTCTGGAAAGTTGGAATTGGTCTCCAAGCCCCAGCGGAGGGCGCCAAAGGTTATAGAGGCCCTACATGAAAAGCCCTCTGTCTATTCATTCCTCCTTATGGACTCTCTGAATGGGGCTAAAAACTCCAGGCCTAAGCAGCTTCAGGCAAAGGATGCTAGGGGCTGTAGTCCAGCAACATTTCTCCTCCCCCCTGTACACATTTATTTAAAAGAAGCAGAAGTGTACAGCTGCCCTCCCTTTCTTCCTTCCTCGGTGGTCCAAGACTGGAAGGCGTTTTGGATGAAAGGGAAGGTGTTTGTCCTGTACCTCACACACGGATGCATTCAGCATCGACAACAGCTGGAAACTGTTGTCCAGGCAATATGGACACAATTCTGGAGCAAAGAACTCCGCTTCTGCATTCAGGTAAGTGGGATGAGGTGCCAGTCAGGAACAGTTAGTGGAAGGAGGGACCTTAGTGCTTTGCATCTGTGCCACAGTGCTAGCAAAACCCACTCTTTGCACTGTGTGCACAGAGGCCAAGAGGCACGTTCCTTCAAATTTGGCATGCCTAAGTGTGTCTTCAATGTGCAACCCTCCCCATACCTTTGCTTGGATTGAGGTTGTGAGGAAAAAGATCACACTGCAAGCTGGATTTGTAAGATCCCACAGGGAGGATGCATGAGAACTCGACAACTGAGCAGAGGATCATTGTTACCATCAGAGGGGAGAGAACATCCAGGACCCCCTGATAAGGGCTGGAATGTGCTCGTCTGCCAACTCACCTTCAGGAAAGTGGTGGTAGTTGGGTCCAGCCTGGAGTTGCATTCAACCTGCAAAGAGCAAAGCTCCCGCTAACACCAGGCGTGGAGGGCCACGTGGCCTAAGCTCTTTCTCTTGGCAGGTGCCCATGTAAGAGCAGGACCTCCCCCCTTCAGTTAAATCCCTACAGTCTGAGGGCTATACATGCATCTTCCTGTTCTGCAACTGGAGAAAATAATTTTTAAGCAAAAGGAAGCAACTGGTGACAAGATTCCTAAATATGAATTCTCACAACCTGGATATGGCGGCCAACTTTATATAAAAACAGGGACTGTGCCCATTCAACATCTATTCTGCTCTGTTCCAACAGTAAGCCTGATGGAACTTCCACCCCTACCCCTAAAAGGTTGGATTGTTTTGGACTCCTTGGGAACAACCACGGAAGTGAAAGTTTGAGGCAGCTGCCAGTCACTTGCCGGGAAGTCACCCAAGAAGGGAGGAGCGGCTGCTCCAGGCCTTCTGCAGCCTTTCTCAGATGGATTCAAGTGGGCCAGGCCACCATTTCTTGGCAGCGCACTTCAGATGCAGCGATCCCAGTAGCCATAATTTGAGCCCACCCCATCTGGAGGTCACCAGAGGGGAAGCTGGGGGCCAAAACTATTCCAAAGAAGTCAAAACAGAACACAGCACACCAGATGCACTCTGGGCATAATGGCAGCATTTGCTACCAGTTGCCCTTCTGGTGGCTGCGGCTGAGAAATGGCTCTCTTCCTCTCTGGGCCTTGCAAAGAGCAAAAAGTTCAAGCGAGCAGGCAGCCCTTCAGCCCGGCTGGGTTGACAGCTCCACTCACCACACCATCTTCTGCAGGGGCATTGTCACCCACCACCAGCATCACCGGGCAGCTGCGAACCCAAGGGGAGAAATGCAGTCAGCAGAACAGCCTCCCTCCTGGCCACCACCGTCCCGCTGTGCTGCGGGGACTTACCGGAGCGTCTTTGCATTGGGTGCACTACCGGGGCGGTTAATCTCCAGATCTCTGCGGCTGAGAGAAACAGCGATTTCAGGGAGCCATTCAGGAGGATGTTGAGGCAAGGTCTTTGCCTGGCTTTTGGCAGAGCCAAGCTGGGCTCCCTTGGCAACTGGGAGCTTCCAAGGCCAGTTCTCTTCCCAAGAGGAACCTCCTTTCAATGCAGACCCAGCCTCACTTTTTAATGGAGCTGTCTAAGTTTATGTGGTCCACCCCAGTTCTAATGTGGTACTGCAACTGCCTGTCCTCTTTGCTGACAGTTTTTCAGTTATTTCACTGGTTTATTCTGGTTTAACTGTTCATCCTGAGACTTTGGCTATAGAATGACTCAAAAGCCCAAGCAAACTAATACTCCAAGGAACACAGCTCAGCAATTTCTTTTAGAAAAATGCAGGTTTACAAGCAGTGAGAGCAACTGATTAAGAGAAGAAGGGAGAGAAAGTGTGTAGCAGACACTTTTAAAAAAATAAGAGAGTTCACTGTACGGCAGTGTCAGAGGCAACCTCCCACAAATTCAGGGTGCCACCACAGAAAAGCCCCTTCCCCTTAGTGTTTCCATCTCAGGTTCCAAGATTATCTTGGGCCCCTCTGCCCGCCAAGGGCCCCCACTGCCAAGACAGATGTGTCACAAACCACCTATGTGTAATCTTTGAAATGGGGAGAAACACAAACTTTCCAGATGGCAGGAACCTGATTTGGACGCTGCTTCCCTGGTGCACAAGCTTAACTTGCTGAGGGGCACAGCAGCCAAGCTTGCTAGTTCTGGTTTCTGCACACAGGATGAGGGCACAATGCCATGAAGAAAGCAACTGCCATGAGGTGGAAATCAGAGCCCCCTTTTACCCACTGATTTTCAGAACGGGCTCTGCCGCAGTTCAAAGGGGCTCTGGGTCATAGGCAGCTTGAGGGAGGGGCTGCTTTACCTGTTGTACATACTCCAGAAGAGCTGCAGGTTGAACTGGTTCACCGTGCTGGCTATTTGCTGGCGATAGCTCTGCACCAGCTCCATGTTATTGGCCAACTCCTCCTGTGGGTGTGGAGATGACAGGCAAAGGCAGGCCTGGCAAACAGCCCCTGAAGCCCAGGCCCGCTCGTGGAAGTGGTAGACAACCTCCCCCAACCCAGCCCATACTTAGGAGCCAAGGCTCTCTACACTTCTGCCAAGTCAGACCTCACTAAGGCAGTAGCTGATTGCTGGCTGATTATAAAGGAGGGAGAACTTGCCTGGGGACATAGCAAGGGGCTTTTGCACTTCCAGTAACAGACAAGCTCGGTACAGATGCTTTTGGCTAGAGGTTTTATCTGCCCACTAGAAGTTCAGAGATCTACCTGCATTGAAGGTGGCACCTCCTCCTTCTCAGCATGAAATGCAACCCAACTATTCAGATGAGATGTGATCATGGATCCCACAATGCCTGCCAGCCACCCCCTGGCCCAATTTCCAGTGTTAGAACAACCCCTTTCTGTGGCATGGGATGTCAGGGAAAACCGTTGGCGAAACAACTTGGTGTTCCCATTACCACCTTTGCATGTGTGAATAAGCCTTTTAAAGCAGCTTCCACAACCACCCTGTGAGGGCTGTCAGTGTTTCAAGTAGCCACCCCTAAGAGGGGAAGGGATTCCCTGCCCTGCAGGAAGGACCCAAGAGGCCTGTAAACATTCTCATCTGCCGTTGCTTTGTCTTACCTGGCTGAACAGATGAGACAGCACCATGTCAGATAATGTGCTGGTCAGGCCAGAGAGCTGAAAGATAGAGATAGGCGTCATGGGACACAGCATTGCTTTCCTAGACCCAGCGCAAAGCCAGCCAGATGCCCCCTTGTTTGCCAAGACCCAGCCTTGAGTATCAAGTTCAGCTGCGTGTGCACAAAGAGGTTCCATTCCTCCTATGTGGATTTTAGGAGAAGCCCTGCTAGTCTACTACCTCTTACTCAACAGCACAGTATCACCAGTAGAGTCTTTCAGGTTTTGGGGTTCTATAATCTCCCAGGATTTGAAACGGACACCTAATATTAGAACCATTATTTAAAAAGCACAACAAAGAATGTTCTTCCTGCATCAACTTAGGAAGTCCAAAGAGCTATTGATGCAATTTTACAGAGGAATTATTGAATCTGTCATTTGTACTTCTATAATTATCTGGTTTGATTCAGCAACTAAACAGGACAGGTACAGATTCCAAGGGATAGTTAGACCTGCAGAAAAAAACAATTGCAATCAGCCTGCCTTCCACTGAGGTCAGAAGGAGGTCTGAGAAAATAACTACAAACACCTCATATCCAAGACATAAGCTGTTTCAACTCTTTCCCTTGGAACACCACTATATGGTGTCTGCATGCCAAAACAACTAAACACCGGGACAGTTTCTTCCCTCATGCCATCACTCTGCTGAACACCTAATTCTCATAGTGCTCTGTTATGTCTAAGTTTATTTTCCCATGTGTGTATTATTATCCTTCCCATCTTCTCTACTACTCCTTTTTAGTATCATTACATTATATTATTATTATTATTATTATTATTATTATTATTATTATTATTATTATTATTATTATGGATCATCACACAGTCAGCCAGATGTTCAGACTGGATTTGCATTTTGTCTACCTATCGAGTCCTTACCCAGGACCTGGGATAGGCAGATGTGGATGTTTGATGGTATTACAGATATCGTCGCAGGATGGAAACAGTTCCTAATAAGGCCGCTTTTGCAATTGACTAATAGCGAATTTGTCAATGCCAATGGTGTTCAAGTGGTGCTCCAGTTGTTTTGGGATTGCACCCAAGGAGCCTATTACTATTGGTACTACCCTTGCTTGCTTTTGCCACAGTCTTTCTATTTCTATTTGTAGATCTTTGTATTTTGTTATCTTCTCCAGTTCTTTCTCGTCTATTCTGCTGTCTCCAGGCACTGCCACGTCTACTATCCAGACTTTTTGTTGTTGTTGTTGTTGTTATTATTATTATTATTATTATTACTCTGTTGCTTTGCATGTACGCTGGAGACAAATTCCATGTGTATCTAGTCACATTTGGCCAAAAAAGCTATTCTATTTCTATTATATTTTTCTATTTCTATTCTTTGCCCAACTTGATCTCTGGCATATGTGCCAGACTGCAACTTCTCCAGATATTCTACACCCCTGCCCTCAGGAGATCTGTGCTCTTCAGCCCTTCTCACAGAGCCATCTCTTCAGCCTGGAAAAATTCTGCCCAACCCACCCTGGAAGCCTACCTTGCTGGCAGCCCAGTCAATCCAGCCTTTGCCATTTGGGTCAATATTGATCAGAACGAGGCCTTCCACCAGATCTGGGAAGATCAGCTGCAGCAAAACAGATACAGAGTTTATTCTGGCTAACAGATTTGCAAGCATCCAAAGACAAAGGAATATGGAAAAAAATCCTGCAAGCTGCATTCACACAGCATGCATAAGCAGTTCTAGAGGCTATATTTGGATAATGTGCAAAATTAGGGTTGTGCAAAACATTTGAAACAGATGTTGTGAAAAGTCTTTCATCTGAAGCTCTCTCTGCAGGCCTTGGAAGCATTTTCTAGCTGTCTCTGTTTCAGTTTTTCCTACTTCTCCACAAGAAAGGCTTTGTGTCACACACATACAAGTGTCTGAGTGATGGAGACAGCTCTCAAAGCAGCTGCAGGAGCCTTGCAAAAATTGCAGTTACCTTACCCCTTAAGGACGGGACTCCTTCCATAGTTACAGGCTTTGCAAAACCCCTTTTCAAAAGCATTGCAAAGTCCTAGTCCTTATTCAAAGTTAGAATATTAAAGAGGCTTTGCTTGTTATTTGAGAAGACTTCCAAAAGAGCCTCCTGGCGGTTATGCACTTTGAAAAATGTGGTCCCAGAGATCCCCGAAGAACCTCCTGACACCATCACAATAGCAAGGGCTTCGGTTCAGCAGCGACCCCATCCCCCAGACTTGGGGAAGGATGATGCAATGGAAAAAGGAAGTATGGGGGGGGGACAGGTTCAAGCCAAAGGAAATCAAGCACAGAAGTGGCCACACTCTTGCAGGAGAAGGGAGAGAGGAAATATGGGGCCACATGATGGTCCCAGACCTGCCCATAAGGGAGAGGAAGTACTCTAGGGAGCTTACAAAATAAGCTCAAATATCAATAAAAAAAAAAAGCTCAAATAAAAAAAACTACAAAAAAGACAGAATCAGCAATAAAATACTTGGTGCCTAGTGGGAAAGAAACATTAAGCAAAGACATCATCAGGGAAATGGCCCATTGGAAAAACTGAACATCTGCTGGGCCAGTGGTGGCATCCACTGGCTGGGCTGGCTTCAGTTTAGCGTGAGCTGCAATTGGCTGGTTGCAGGCACTGGATGTAGTGCCAATGTCCACCCTAATAATAATCTCAGCCCAACCTCTTTTTCTATGGATACGGGCATGGTGGTAGAACTGGATAGGTCTTGGCAACTTTCAAGAATTCCTTGTCTGACATCATTTTCAAGGGGTTGTTCATGGAAGACAAAGCACATATTTCTGGCTTTCAGTGAATAAGTCCAGGGCCTGATAAAAGCTGAAAAGTGTCAAGCTATGAAGACCTCTTGCATTGGAACTGCCATGCTGCTTCTAGCTTGCAACCGTTGGGGGGGGGGAGTTTTGGAATGCACAAATGGTTTCTATCCATGTGAGAGTCAAGGCCACTGAAGAGATGTTTTGGCAAACAGAGACTTTCTTCTCATAACCATTCAAAGACTAATTTGACAATGTGACCTGAATTGTCAGAGAGGGGAAGGAAAGTTTTACTCTTTTAATTATCTTTTTCCTGCCATATTGCCAGAGCTGGTATTCTTTCTACCCTGCTGGTATGCTATGCTTAATAAGTGATAGCAATGCCTCTGGTGAGTTTGCTTCATTGGGTTTTTCAGCCAGAACCTTGACAGCTAAATAAATGTCCACCAGATTGGGCTATATGAGTTCTACTCTAGAAGATACCAAGAGAGAGGGTTCCTTCTCAGAATGCATACAGGCTCCTCCCTCCCTCCCTGATTCCCCCCTCTTGCACACGGACCAAGCTGAGCACTTACGGCAAATTTGGTAAGAACATAGGCACCTGCTCCGACTCCAATTCCAATCACATACTTGAACCTATGAAAAGGGAAGCATCAGAGAATTCTTGGCGTCACTTCCTTGCCTCCCTCCTTGCCAGTTCCCGAGGCTCAGTTTATAGCCAACTAGAATTGGGGTCATCCAGATTGGCCTACAGTATGAATGATTCCAAATGATCGTATACAAATGGTTGGTTAAGCAAAGACTACCTGGATTACTTTTTAAGACGTTCCAAAACATGGTCTCTCCATAACAATTTTGTTAGGCTAAGCAGGGAAAAGACCACTTTTGAAATCATCCAGTGAAGTTATGCTGGGACAGGGTATGATGTGAGCTCTGATCAGCCTAAAACCTTCAACCACTGGGCCCCCAACTGAAGCTTTATTAAATACCAGTTGGTTGCCCCCTCCTGGTTTCATGCTCTTGTTCCTAAATATTTTCAAGCAAGGCTCTTCAACTGTTTCATCACTTGCTCAAAAGGGCCAAACTCTGCATTTTGGAAAGAAGTCCTGTCAGCCACCTCCAAAGTAGGAAACCCCAATTAAGCAGAACATTTCAGCTGATAGCAAAATGCCAGTTTTGTCTGATGCTCAAAGGCACCAGGAGATGGTGAGTTCTGGTCCTACCTCAAGCACAAAATTAGCTGGATGATCCTGGGCAAATCACTTTCTCTTAGCCCTAAGCAGGAGGCAATGGCAGTCCACTTCCAAGAATGTGCCAAGAAAACTGCAGGAGTACCCCTGTCCATGTAATCGCCAGGAGGCAGGACTGACAAGACAGTGAAAAAGGCTCTCCTTCCTGTACCACACCATAAAGGCCATTCTACCATGGCAATGTGAGCCCCCAAACAACTTAATGACACCCCCATGCTCACCCAAAATGTTGGACCACACTGGGCAACATGGCAGCTAACTGGTCCATGGACGGGTACTGATACCTATGGAAACAGGGCAAGCAAGAAGTGCAGAGAGATTCAATCTTATCAATCTAATCTTATCTGTCTATCTATCTATCTATCTATCTATCTATCTATCTATCTATCTATCTATCCACTGCATATTTATATTTATATTTCATATGGCATAAGAATACAGCATTAATACATAAAAATTCACAAAAACAACATATAAAATGTGTACCAAAAGATAAAACATCAAAGCAATGAATTATTTCAAAAACATAAAGTATGGGTGATAAATAAAATTATGAATAGAATTATGTATAAGCAGTTATAGGAGCGGCTAAACCTATGCCCAGTTATCTAGATCGTTTAACCATTGGACAGCACTGCCCTCGAGGTGATGTATTTCAGGCAGGTATCCAGAGAACCTTCTGAGGGGGCATTCCATCGCAATATGATGTAAAGTTTTCAGGACATTTCAGCAACCACAGTCAGGATTCTCAGCCAGTACCCATCTTATCTTGGTGTGGGAGGATCTTCCAGGAAAAAAAAACAGGGGCCAGACCAAGCCCTGCCCTCCCTTCTGTGGGAAGCTGCTCCTCCCAGCCAGCCTGGGATTCCCAACTGGGGCAGCTCCAAAGGAGTGGGATTCTTGTGCTCCCTAGAGGTGCCGTTTTGGATCTATTCTATCCCCAACTACTAACTAAATAGATTTGGAATGAAGTCAGAAAACAAATAATAATGAAAGTAGAAATTTTATGGCAGAGTTCATAAACTGAGATTATAAGAATACAGCTGGCCCATTGAAAACTATAATATGGCACTTCACAAAGTTAGCTTATAACTGTAGTTTTTAAGGCAGAAGGGGAAATTACTAAATGTATAGTGAATAGTTGTTACCTGTATTTCATTAATTTAAATTTGTATTTAAATTAACTTGATTGCCTGGATTAACTCACAGGTTAATTCATCCCTTTGTCATTTTTGTTTATATGATGTGTATACCATCAGCTTCAAAGTCACAGGAGCAGTTTGTGATAACGATTAACTTATGGAAAAAAGCACCCTACCACCACTTAGGGCTCCTGGACTCTCACACACACACACACACACACACCCCACCGTGACTAAGGAGAGCCATCCAAGAGAGCACTTATGGCCTTCATTTGAATCCTCTCTGAGAGCCACACAACAGAGACTCTGAGGCAGATCTATGATCCAGAACAGGCCTGGCAAGAAACCATCAGGGACACAATCACACACTTTGCCTACCCCTGTAAGATGCTTACCCCTGGGGAAACTGGGACGCCCCAGTCTGCTGCCCGGGCGCATCCACGTGGCACACCACAAAGTGCTTCATGATCTCTAGCATTTCTTCAGAGTTGAAGAGAGTGTTGAAGCAGAGCTTGTCTGCAAGAAATGGAAAGAAAACCAAATGATACACCTTCGACAATGAACTCAAAGCGCTGACTCCTCTTCCTCTTCCAGGCAGGTCAGGAGAGCCCCCCTTTTATGCCAGAGGCAACCAAGGCCTCGTTCCCTCTCTTGAGCCCAGAGTTCTTGGTCCAAGTATGTTTCTTGTTACTCCAACACTAAAGCTTTTTAGGACTGCTGAAACTGCTGCTGCTCTCCATACAGAATGTCTATGGAGCGTCTCAGTCTTCCAGGTCATGGTTGTCCCAAAGGTGCTTGTTTCCAAAGGCAGCTGGACTTCCTTTGTTTTGCTTGAAGGTGCTTTGCTTCTCGTCCCAGAAGCTTCTTCAGTCAGATGTCAGAACTGAAGAAGCTTCTTGGATGAGAAACGAAAGGTCTTGAAGCAAAACAAAGGAAGTCCAGCTGCCTTTCGAAAAAAGCACCATTGGGTTCCACGCAGAATGAAAGTGGAACAAAGATTATGATTCTTTACTAATGCCTTTTCTAACCATTTACAATTCAGCTACAATCTCTTCCAAATGACTCAAGCCCTTCCTGTTGGTGGATTCAGCCCAGTCCGGTGCTTCCTGCAGGGAGGCCAGGCAACCATTGGCAACCTCCTCAGGGCAAGTGGAGAGAATCTGGCAAGCCAGCCAATCCACTCCGTTCAATGGAGATTCCGCCCCAGACAAAGAATGGCCACTCAGCCTGAAGGAGCTTTGACTGGCTGGCATCTCTCCCATTACCTGTCTGCACAGGTCTCCCACGTGGAAAGGGACTGGTATAAGCCCGGGCAGAAAAAGAAGAGAGCGAGACGGTTCCTGCAAAAGAGCCCCTTCATACACTCCTACTCAATTCATTGGTCAAGCAATTTTTGAATGGGCAAACTTAGCATTAATACAGAATATACCACACAGGTTTAAAACAAACAGCATGGGCCATTCCTTTTCCTCCTCCCCCTCTTCTTCTTCCCTTCTTCTCTTCTTCCCAACATACCACCCCAGCTGGGCAAGATTGCCTGAGCTTCAAGACACAAGGATCTAGGAATCCTCCACAAGCTTCACCCTTGACTCTACAAGCCAGAAAAAACGTAGGTGATTTGGCCAAGGAAAGTGGCAGCTAGGCTCTCTGTCTTGGGGAGGAAGTGAGTGGATTCTGGGGAGACATCTTCAAAGAGGCTGCTGCCTATGTCTCCTTTGACCCCAGTGCTGGGCCAGACTGTCAGCCCATTTCGCCTTCCCCTCGGCCCACTTCCAAGGTAAACACCACCTTCAACACCAAACAGATGACAAGCCAGGCAGCTTTGAAGCAGCAAGTGATGGAATCCACGCCGCTCATCTCTTCCTCCTACTCAGCTCGGTCATCCATTGCCCCCCGAAGATATGGTGGGGCTCCCCCAATAAATCCCAAATGAACTGGTCTGCTGCCACCAGGTTGAGGGGGCAGTCAGTGGAATGGTCCAACTTGCATTCACTGGAGGGGACAAGGGGTGGATCTTCTAAAAGGCCTCCCCACCACAGACCTCTATTTTTGAGTGCAGTAAATGCATGAGAGGCCCATTGTCTATACCATGCCTCAGGGCTGCAGTTCCCCCAGTTCTGTGTGACTTAATTCCTGAAGACAATTAGGGTCTTCCCATGTCTGCCAGCAGGAACATGTTCTTGAGAAGACCTGCCTTTTTTAACTCTCCCTTCTTGTTCATTGGCAGATCAGGAATCAACCTTACAGGACTGTGACAATTCAAAAAATGATAGCAAGAAACAGGCTATGCCAAATTCACAGCATTCTCACAGTCTGCCAGACTAATTAATTTAATTTTAAAAGGGAGAAACTTTTGTCCAACATGAGTTATTCATGGGACACCTGTGAAACTTCCTAATAATTGCTTTTCTTAATTACCAAAGATTAACCACTTACTTTTGACAAGAATTTGAGAATTCAGCAGTTGCAAAATAATGTAGATACCTTAATGGGATCCATCTTGTCTCTCTTAAACAAAAGGATTTAGCTTAAAGCTCTCTTAAGTTTCCGTTTGCTAGAAGACCTTCATTTCAATGATCTAAATATGAATCCAAGAGACCCAACTTGCTATCAGTTCCTCACTTCTAGATTACTACTTTCCACTACCAGCGATCCAAGAGGTACATCAGAAGCCTCACTGTCTTTTCGCTCCATGGGGGAATTCCAGATTTCCTACGGCTGCGTCACTAGTGTGCCCATTTGGATACGCAGGAATGATCAGCATCTGGCACACTGCCTCCATGCTCTAAGAAAGAAGGGTGAAGAAACACCACTAGCTGCCTCTGGACCTTCAGCTTCAGCCTTCCTGTTCCTTCCTGTCCACACAGCTTCCTTCTTACTAGGCTGTGGGGACGGTGGCCCTGGCTAAGCTTGCAGGTAGGCTTGTTTAGTTTTCAGGGGTTGGAGTGTTTGCAAGTCTTGTTAGTCAATTTATGGAAACAGCGCCAATGTTTTAATGATTTCCTGAACTAAGATTAGGCAAAACAATTCCCTTTCAGCATCTTCAGCATTTACCTTCTCCTCTGCAGAACAGGCCCAGGCGAAGGCCAAAAAGGACAGGGTTTTGTTTTGCTATGTTCACACATCAGAATTAATACATTTTCTGGATTCACAGTATGCTGTGAATCAAAATGAACCAAAACTAATGGGTCTGCACACTAGGTTATGCCATCAGAACTAAGTCCAATGGCATTGAAAAACTTGACACATCAGCAAATATCAATGAAATGGCAGCCTTGTCAATGACCACGTTGATCCCATGTCCTTCTGGTAGCCAAGCACAAGCAGCCAGTTTGCAAGTCAGGCACAACAGAGCCAGGTTAAGAGAAAGCAGGGGTCTGACCCTCCTCCCCAACCAGAATGAAAAGTGACCCACTTACGATTGAGCCCCACATCATGGTAAGTCAGGAGGGCAGGGCGGTTCCCTCGGGCAGATCCCCGAAGGACAACGTGCAGCAGTCCGTAGGGTGTCTCGATGTCATGCTCCTGGGGGAGAGAGGAGAGATGGCAGTGCGAGGTTGGCCTGGCTGAAGAGAGCCGGGGTGCTTTGCTGCCCCCTTCTCTAAGCTGAGTCCTCCAAGGAGGGAGGCACAGGGAGAGCCATGGCAGGCCTGGCTCTTTCAGAGGGCTGCATTCTTCGCTCCAGCTGCCGTAGTTCACCTCTGCCCAGGAGTCCCACTTACACAAACCAGGCTCTTTGCACACTGTGTCGTCTCCCCTGCAGGGTTTCCCACAATGTCGGGCTCAAGGAACCAAGAAGGACACAAGAAGTTCTTTCAGAGGAATCTTTTTTTACTGGTGCTTGCACAGAAATCTTGCCAGATTGGAGCAGTGGCCTGCATAACTATTAGATCTATCTGCAAACTGCTTTGCCTTTTTTCTGCATGCCAAAGATATTGAGCTTTTTACTATTTTGCCCTACGTCCCCCCAGTCAGAGTCCCTCGGGCATTGCTCCAGCAAAATAGCCAAGCATTTATATTCCACCCCCACCCCCACCCTTTGAATCAGGAATTATGGCTCTGCAGAACCACCTTCTCCATAACAGCATTCACACAACCAGATTCTCCTGGTTGCAGAGTACGCATAGATTGAACCGTCACAACATACATTGAACAATGAACAAACCAGATATGCCAAGTGGTTGCAACCTACTCAGCCACAGGAAAAGACAAGCTTCTTCTGCAAATGCAGTAGCTGCATTTCTACATATTATAAACATAAATATAACTGTCAGCAGTTCCAGCGAAAGTAAGCAACCCAGATTGCGAAAGATGTTAAACATTCCCAGGGCTCAGTTTGCCTGCTGGTAAAGGCACAGTGGCACAGACTGTTGCCCTTCGTTCCTGGTTCCGAGTCTCCTTTGCTGCAGAGGGGTTCTGAGCCCTCTTCCAGCACCCCCTGCTCCCTCCAGCTAACCAGCACTCAGACCCCCCCCCGCCACAATGAAGTACGGCTATTGGATGATGGGAGGGTCTCCTCTCCCACAGGGAGCAGCCAAAGAAACCCAAAGCCAGCTTGCCAGGGGCAGAAAAAGCAGCACCTTCCTGCAGAGGGGACCAAGTCTTTCCAGATGGACTGAAACGTGCTCAGGGCGTCAGGCTGACTAAGCAGGGCTGACCAGCGGGGGGGGGGCAGAGAAGGTGCTAGCTGTCCAATCATGAGCACAAAGCACTACTAGACGACTGGCAGCATCGTGGATATTCGGACTCTGCCTGCAGCTGCCAGACAGCAAGCCACGTTCAAAGTCTTCATTTTTGCATTTGCAGCAGAACGTTTAGTAACATCTCTCAGCCTTCGGTCTCAGAACGATTCAGCCCAAACTGCTCCCAGGCCCCGTGGCTGACGCCGTTTTCCGCCTCAGTGAGGACTTCAAGGACACCGGCAAGGTCTCGCCCGGCTCACGGCGAAGCCACCGCCCGCAACTGCTGCCGATGCGCCTCGTCTCCACCGCGGGCGGAGGGCGCGGTCCCCGGGAAGCCTCCCCCCTCCCAGCGGCCAAGCTCCCCTTGCCCAGAAGGCCCTTAGGCCCTTCCCTTCCGCGGCAACCGGGCCCCCGCCGAGCTGCGCGGGAAGCCCCGCCTGGAGCGGGCACGGCGGGCGTCGGAAAGCTGCTCCCCGAGGGCTGGCCGAGAACGAAGGAGGGGAGCGCGGAGGCTTATCGGGGCAAGGCCGCTACCCAGGGCAGCCCGGCGCCTACCCCGGGCACCTACCCCATCCCAGCACTCCGGCATCTCGGGGACTCCGGGGGCGAAGCGGCGCCGCGTCCCTCTCCGGCTCTCCGCGCGCGGACCCGCTTCTCTGCAGCCGCGCCGTGCAGCTCTGCAGTGGGCTGGCCTCGCCGGGCGTATTTAAGGGTCAGCCGCTCCTCCCTCCCTCCCTCCCTCTCTCCCTCCCTCCGCTGGCCGAGCGCCTGCCACTCCCGAGGCGGGGACTCCTGACCGGGACAGCGCCCAAGAAGGCCAGTGTTTCCCAAACTTGACAATTTTAAGGCATGTGGACTTCAACTCCCAGAATTCCACACCCTCCTTTCAAGACTGGAGGTCACCTCCTTCTCTGTGCTGACTCTCAATTGCCCCTTTGGCCACAACCCCATAAGGAGGTCAGATTCTATCAGCCCATTAAAGAGCCTTGTTAAATTAGGCCCAGATGCTAATGTTCTATAATTGGCAAAGGAAAAACAAAAAATGTAACCATCTAAACAATTTGCAGGGGACTTCTAGGACTCCATGGTTACATCTTCAACTTATCACCATTGTGGGAAGCTGATAGTCTAATTTTAAAATGAAGAAAAAAAAAACAACCCGCCAAATGTAGCAGATTCTGTTTGAAGACGCCAATTTGACACACCCCCTTCCCCCGCCGCCGCCGAGGCAAGCGCAAGGGGGGGGGGGGACGGAGGCCGGCGCCCCGCTGTCCTTGGTGCTGAAGCTGGGCTGGTCCCACCAGCAGCCACACCACGCTAGCCTGTGGCCACCAGGGGGCTCCGCGCTCTCTTCCATCAGAATTGGTGAGGATCAATTCTCCCCTGGCCAGCTTGCTTCGCTGCAGCCCTTGGCTGTTACAGCAACTTGGCCCAGCTGAGATATTTTGGACTATAGACGCCACCATTCCTAATTACTGGCCACGCTTCCTTGGTTGACCAGGCTGAGGATGTTCCAAACAAGACAGACTGGACTCCTGCAACCTCTACCAGTCCCTTTCTATGGTTCTCTTCACTGACTTTCCCACTTCCAAGGAATCACCGATATCCTCATTTCACCAAGATAAGCCACTTCATCCCTTGTGCTGGTATCCCCTTTGCCAAAGAAAACAATCTGGCTCCTGGATAAAAGCAGAATGCAAAAACAGAAAAGGAGGGAGGGGAAGGAAGCCCCACCTCTTTTTATTCCCCCTCCCCTTTCTTGTTCCTGTACATCTCTTTATTTCTGATTGTCTTCAGCCCTGCCTTGAAATTCTTCTTTCAGCCCCTTCTTGGGTTTCACCAGTTCCTGCTTTCCTCTGAGAAAGAGGAGAACCAGTCATGGCCTGAAAGTCATCATTTCTGCAAGGGTTCTGCACCCCACTTGCCTTGCGAAGGCAGGCTGGGAGGCTTCTGTATTGAGCCCGTTTCCTCCCATCTCAAGGACGGGGAAGAAAGACGTAAGGGGGGTGCATGAACAAGCCTTTTACTTACAGAAAGCCAGCGGCTGCTTTGCCCTTCCCTTTCATGCTTCCCATTCATGCCATTTGCCCCTTTCACTTGTCACACATCCAACTGCAGCCTTCCAAAGGCCACGGGCAGCACCAGTTGGGCCCACAGACATTGGCTTCTGATGCCCTTGTAGAGTTGCTCAGTTTAGGTTTTTGCATAATGCATTTTAAATGTCAAACAAAACATCAACCAGCTACCAGCCTTAGGCGTGCCATGCCATCTGCCACCATCCCTGCTGACAGCAAAGATGATGCCAGTCAGTTTGGGCACATTTAGCCAGTGTGCCACAAGTACACCATGTCTCAGTCTTACTCCGACTTTGCTCACACCACTCTATGCAAGCTGCAATTTCTATTTAGGCCCTCATTCACTAAATGAAATGTACATTTCTAGCCAATATCCTATGGCCTGAGATCCACCTGCCAGGGGCCTGGGCAGCACTCCGACCTTCTTGGGTACAAGAAATAAATCCACCTAGAGTGGGACCCCAAGTGATTCTTTGTTGTTGGAATTCTGCCACTTCTGAAACTTTGGTCCTGCCAAAGCGGCAACTCCCCCATCTTTTCCTGGGTAAGGCAGGTAAAATGGACACCCTGCAACCTTACCTTCCAGTCAATGTCCACTGCAGGCAGGAAAGTGTCTGAATTCTCCTGGAAGGAAAGACATAAAATCAAACACTTGCAACTCTTCTGATTCCCATGGATCCCACACCCAGAAAAGCACTGGGGGTGGGGGTCCTGCAAAGAGACTCCTCTAGTAACCTCCGTTGCCAACTTGGGGCCCACCCATATTATAAATACAGGTGTCCAATGGAATTTTGGCTGACCCTGGGAAAAGCGAAGCAGAATCCAGCCAGGTTAATATGTGGAAATGCTGGGATTGTATGCTGGACTGGGAAGTTGGGAGAGATCCCAGGGAAAGGGCATCTTTCTTGGGGCTTTCAGAGCCAAGCAGGATACGGGAGCCCATTATGGGATGTGGCCTATGAGGTCAGCTGCTCTTTCTCTGGATGTTTCTTTGCATTTGCTCTTTTCTTTCTCTTGCCCTCAGGGTCTGTTTTCTCTTAGTTTGCTCCCACCACCCTTCTGCCAGGAAACAAACCAGCTGCATCTACTGGGGAGGAACAAAGTCTGGGAAGCAGCATTACAATCTTCCCTTTTTTCCACGACTTGCATACCTCCCAGGGAGGGAGCTGAGTTCTCCATGCTGCTGGAACACACAAGTGGCTCTTGCCAGGATCCAAAATGATGGCAAAGAGCAGATTGCCCAGGCCTGCCTGAATCCCAGCTGGCCGTTCTGTGCCCTTATCACCGGCTCCAGGCAGACTCTCACAGAGCTGAAGGCCTTGCCCCCGAGCTCAGCAGAATCAGAACTCCAGGGGAGAAATGAAGGACTCACCATTTCAGCATCTTGTCCACGGAGCAGAGGCTTCTCCTCTGTAAATCGCTGCTCGTGTAGGCTAGCCATGGTCACTTCCTGGAGCAACAGTCCTGAGCAATGAAACAAACCTACATTAGTCAGTAGTTTGCCCCAATCCTGGAATGCCTTTGATAGCTGGCCCTCCTAGTCAAGACTGCAAAGCACTATGTGCCTGTTCATATTCACACCAGCAACTGGGGTGTGTGTGTGTGTGGGGGGGGTAGGGCAAAGGGTTAAAGCCCCCTGGAAACCTGGCCAGGTTTGAGGAGGGAGGGCTGTGGTTTGCCCATGTGCACTTTGGCTTAACCAGAGTTAAAAGAGAGATTTCCAAGGGGGGATTCGGTGAGCAGCCCCTCCAGCAACGCCTGCCAGTGGCTCCACGCAGATCATGCGGCACTGGATCCTTTCAATCCTGGCATTAAGCAGGCCCTAAGACTTCCTGCCAAGGAAATCTGAAGCAGCAGTTTATTTAATCAATTTCCTTAATACAGGCCCATCAACCTGGCACAGCGACTCCCGCATCGTGGGCATCGGGAGCCTTCCCAGCCCAGCCCCAGATGTTCCACAGGAGCGTTTCCCCAGCGGAGCCTCCGCCACCGTTCCCCCCTCCCGCTCACCAAGCAGGAGGCATCGTCCTCCGGGACGCGCCCGGTCGAGGAACCACCTGCCCGCGGCCAGACCGCCTTCCCGAGGCTCCGGAGGCCCTCCAGGGCGGCCCCTCAGGCCGCCAAGCCGGGCTTGAAGCGCCGCTGCGGGGACGGGCGGAGGCTTTATATCACCCGCAGTCGCCGACTCCGGCGCTCGCTGCCCTGGGCGACGGCCGGTTGCGGCGGGGGGCTGGAGCGATTCCTGGGCCGAGAAAGACGCGCTCCGACCCGGCAGGACGCGCGGCGCCGCGGCCGAAGCCCCCCGGCACCCCGAGCGGGCCGGGCCGGGCAAGGTAGGGCGGGCGAGCCGAGCCGAGCCTTCGCCGGCCCGGCCGGGTTTCGCTAGAGGTTGCCGGGCGCAACGCCCCCCGCCCGGCACCAACGCCTGCCCCTCCCCGAGCCGCCCACGAGGCGCGCTACCTGTCAACAGCTCCAGCTTCTGTCCCCAGCCCTTCATGGCGGCGGAGGCTCTGCGGAGCCGGGCGTGCAAGCGGCGCGGCGGGGAGGGGAGGGGAAGGGAGGCGGGCGGCGGGCCTCGCTCCAAAAGGGAGGCGGGCGGGCCCGGGAGGGGCTCCAAGCCCCGCTGCCCCCCGGCTGCCTTGCACGTCCTTCGGGGGCGGGCGGTGGAGCGAGCGCGGGGCCACTTACGGGCGGCGGGCGAGGCGGGAGGAGACCCGCTAGGCTGCTTGCTGCGCGGTCCGGCCCGGCCCGGGAGCGTCTCCGGCTGCACGGCTCTCCCCGGCCTCTTCGGGGCGGAGCTTCCCTGACCGGCTCCCTCCGGATGGGCGCTGCGCGTAGGGGGGAGGCAAGGCGGGGCGAGTCCGCCCCCGGCCCTCCTCGGCCTCGCGCCCGCCTTGCCTCCTCCTTTATCCTCGCGTCTCTATAGGCGAAGGGAGGCCGGCCCGGTCGCACCTGCGAACGACCGGGCGCCGGAAGCTCGGTCGGCTGCGGGGCTGAAGATGCGTCCTGCGCTTCCCCTGCATCCTCCTTGAAGGCGCCCAAGGGGAGGTCGGGGCCCGGAGCCCCCGGAGCCGCAGTTGGGATGCCGATGCTTCGCGAAAGGGGGCGCTCCGGAGCTCGGTGGTCTTCTGGCAGACTCCGGTGCATTACCCGAGCTAGACAGCTGCTTGACTAGTGATGAAGATGGCGACGACGTGGCACTGATGTTACCTAGTTGGGTAATGAGACGTCTGCCAGAAAACCACCAAGATCAGGAAGCAGCGAGGGGGCCTCATTCCAACCCTGGGTTATAAATATTCTCCTTTATTGGTAGTCGGCAAAATGCTTTTATTAAAATCGGGCAATTCTGTTGACAGCGCTCTATGAAAAAGCGAGCGGGTCTTGCCTGGCCATCCTTCCCCTGCTCTGCAAAGGTCTGGGCAGGGTCTCCTCTCAGCTCTTCCTGAGCAGCTCAGAGCTAGCTTTCTCAGAGGGACCAGCCCCCTCCCCACTCACCCCCGCCTTGGCCCGGGCAACCAGGGCCTTCGCTGCCTGGAGGGATCCACGCCGATGCCCACTTTCTGGGCCGGCCTTCCTCCTGCCTGGATCCTGAGCAGGGTTTGCCTCCTCGGTCCCCGAGCAGTAAGGACCCGCTGCTTGTCCCCTGCCGCCCAGACTGGAAGCCTCCATGGGTGACCTGGTCACTAGCATCGGCTCACTTGAAGTTCTGGAAGGGCTGCGTAGTTGAACAGGCAGAAACTCCGTAGCTACCGACCCCCCAGAGGTTATGTGCCATTAGCATTTCTGATTCCCCCCTCGCATCTGTTTAAGGCTCTCTGTCAAAGCGGTTTTTTCATGTTCAGTTCAGCCGAGATGTGTTTCCATAAAAACGAATGCATAAACAATTTAAACCCATTTATTTTGACCAACAGCACCTTCGCGATAAAGTTTGCTCCAACTGCTTGTTAGTTTCGCACCATTTGCCTATAACTTGCGATAATTTCATCCTGATCTCTACTTCTTGTTACATCGCAGATGTTCATTCTATGTGACTATATAATTACATGAATTGTGTGTACATGTTAACTTCTCTCATGTTCTCATCATAAGCAAATGAATAAAATTCCATGTCACACGTTTCTAATATTTATTGCTAGTCATTTGGATTCTTGGCCAACGACAGTCTTATTCGCATCTAAACATGCCCATTCAAGTCTCAAAACAAAGTTTTAATATCACAAAATTTAAATTTAAACTTCCAGGGTACTCTGATAATAATCAAGATAAATTTATTTCTCTAAAAGTAGCAACATTTTGCCACATTATGTGTAATGTTCGCCCACAAGTGATTGCTAATGATAGTTCTTGTTATTACAGAATAGTTTTGTGTTCATTTGTTGTACTTCTATTAGTCAATGATCAAAATAAAATTCTGTTTATAGAAAGTAATAAACTAAATTAAAGTTAAAATATTTATGTTACTATTGTGGTAGCTCTTCTGGATTCAGTTCAAGGCGTGGGTGATCGCCCACAAAGCCTTTCACGAGATTCAGCCAGCTGACTGAGAGGTTCCCTCTCCTGGATTGTCTGCCCATCCATCAGATCTGGGAGGAGAGTATTGCAAGCCCACACACAACCAAACCAGCTCCAATGCTGCTGACCCTTCGTAAGGCCTGCTTGAAGACTTGCTACGGCATTGGGCCTGGGGGCTGGATAAGGATCTCAAATTGATCTCTCCTTGATAAGTTTTCACTCATTACTTTGTGTCCTGCCCACAAGTGCTTTGGTTTAGATTAGAACAAGAAAAGAAATAAGAAATAAGGAGAAATTTCCTGGAAGTACAAACAAACAATGAAACAGCTTGTCTCCAGAGTTGTGGGTCTTTCATTATTGAATGTTTTCCAAAAAATATTGGACAACCATTTGTCTGTCACAGTACCAAGATCACATGAAGTGTTAGAACCACTAATAAGCAGCTCTTTAACAGAAAGAACTGTTTGCCCTGAGACACCGGAGGTTTTCACAGAAGTGCAGCTCAGAGTTTTCTTTTAAAAGCCTGCATTTCTCATCATCTTTGTGAGTGTTAAGACGCAGGCTACACTCCTGGGACCTGTTCTGATGGTCCTAGGAAAGGCCACTTTACTGGCAAGAAACAGGAAACTAGGACTAAAAAAGGATAGCTATCTGCTTACATTGCCATTGTTTGCTACAGAAAACTTGCTGGACAATAGCTAATTATTCCATGCATTTCTAGAGTCTTTCTTTAAATTATTAAAACAAAGATCTAATAGAAACATTGAAATGTTATTTCCCAGTGTGATTTTTTGCCACTGCTGTATCTATTCCTTCAGAGCCAGAATATTGTTTGGATCTAACTTCAAACTACCACTGGAAACAATTTTAATTGGATATGTGAACATTGATTCTTCTCAGTGCCTGAACCCAAGCATAAATTTGCAAGTGTTTCCTACAAGGCCTCACCCAGTCTTTGTGATCTCAGCTGTCCATGTCAGTGAATTTTCTCTTTTTATAATTCTGGATGAGGTTAGATACCGTGATCTGGGAGGCCTTACCCATTTCCCAGCACTGGAAGTCATGGAGTCCCTTCTGGCCAGTCTGAAATAAGGCCCGCTCCAACTCATCCAGTCGGGCCACCAATGCAGACGTGTCCTCATTGAAAGTATTCTGGGAAGAGTCCATAATGTGACGGAAACGGCCAATAAATGTCTATCAACAAAAATAGACCTATTTAGCATGGAAAACATTGGCTTGGATCCTCGCAAAGAAAAGACTGGTAACTTCTGCAACAAATGCAATCACTCTCATGTAGAGACTTCATAGCAACCACCTGATTCTAGGATACAAAAAAAAAACTGTTTCTGTGCCAGGCTACATTTTAATCGTGAAATTGTTTAAGCTGGGAATGGGAAGATGGAGCAGCTCCAGATCACAATTTCAATTCCCAGCAAAACTAGGCAGTGCCATTTAACATTAGGAATAAGTCCAACATAGCTGTAGTCAAGAAACTGCCTCATCCTCTCCTAGCAGTCATCCTCATTACCATTCTAGGCAAGGCCTTTGGGAGCTAGTGTACAGCAGCATTGGATGGCAGAGTAGGTGTGTTCTAGTCCCCTCTATGTTGTCACATTACAAGTGTGAGGAAGCATGCCTTCCCTCTCATGGCTCCCACCCTCTGGAACAGCCTACCCCCAGAGATAGCAATAGCACTTAGATTTATATACTGCTTCATAGTGCTTTTACAGCCCTCTCTAAGCGGTTTACAAAGTTAGTATATTGCCCCCAACAATCTGGGTCTTCATTTTACCGATCAACCTTGAGCTGGTGAGATTCGGACTGCCAAACTGCTGGCAGGCGGCAGTCAGCAAAAGTAGCCTGCAGTACTGCATTCTAACTACTGTGCCACCAGGCTCTGGTGACAATGCCCTCTCTCTTGGGGTTCCTAAAAACCCTTATGTCCTAGCTTTGTTGTCAAGCCTAGGATTAGTCATGTATTCTCAGGGCTCTGGTTTGTTTTGTTACTGTTATGACTGGGCTTGTGGTACTGTATGTTTTTAACTTTTTTTTTAATTTATAAGGGAACTAGAGTACTGGAATGGGTGGCTATAACAAGTTTCAAATAATAATGAAGAATTATAAGCTGTAAGAAGCAGACCTTTTACCTGTAGTATAGATTGAGCTAATTCAGTATTTTCAGGATTGTCAAAATTGAGTAACTGGGACCCAAATCCATAGTAATATGGCCCCAATTTATGCAGGTCAACCACACTGGCATCAGCATTAAACACTGTCCGCCAGCTCTCCTTGTAAACTTTTGGCAGCTCCACAGAAATAATCCTCCGCTTGTCATACAAGCCTTTGGCCAACCAGAGAGGGATTTCCAACTTTGAACCCTGGATAATTGGAAAGAACACACAAAAAAAACCTAAACCACAGAAGGTAAACCACAACTGAACACCCCTAATGCTACTCTGAATAGCCCTGAAAGTAGAGACATTCACTACGGATCAGCCAAGTGCAAGACATCTGCAGCAACAGGATTTTCCACATCGCTCCTCGCTTTAACTATTTAACTGCCTATAGCAGGGGTTCTCAACCTTGGCAACTTTAAGACTTGTGGACTTCAACTCAGCTTTGCTGGCTGAGGAATTCTGGGAGTTGAAGTCCACAAGTCTTAAAATTGCCAAGGTTGAGAACCCCTGGTCTATAGCAAGCAGTCGCGACTGCTCTTGCGAGGGGAAAAAAGCTGCGATTGATGGCGGAGGCAGACCCAAAGCCAGCCGCGTTTCTGAGATGGGGCGGGCCTCGTTCAGCCAAGGCGAAACTTACAAAGTCAAGAAAGGCTTCGAAACCCATGGCTCCCCCCCCCCGGCGACCTCGAGTCTGAGCACGGGGACCGGGATGCCAGCACTCCGCTTCCTCGGGCAGAGGCGTTCGAGAGCATTTGGGGCAGCCATTCCTTGGCCTTTCCCTGCCAGCGAGGCTGCTGGACTCAGATGAGGCCTAGCCTGAAGCACCGCCGGCTATAATCCAGCAGGCCGCGCCAGGCCACTCGGGCCCGGAACCGCCGTCGCCCGTCTAAAGGAAGTCCCAGAGCAGCCTCAAGACCAGCCAGCCAAGAGTTCCGTACTTCCGGGTAGACGCTACTTCCGCCGCGCGGCCGCCGGGAGCTGTAGTCCGCAGCAGCACGGGGTAGCTCTCACCTCCGGGAGCGCCTTGTCAGGTGCAGCGGCCGCGGCGGCCCTGGCCAGGACTCCAGCCAAGCGAGGCCAGGCGACCTCGGCCCGGCCCGGCAAACGCTCCTGCGACATAAGGATGTCGGCCAGCGAAAGGAAGTTCTCCTCGGGACCCAGCGCGGCCTCCACCGGCGCGTAGGAGTGCGCCATGTCGCCTCCCGAGCCGTCACGCCACCCAGCGTTTCCTCAGCCCGTGCGCCTGCGCGTAGGCCCCCGCGCTTACCGCCTTTCCATTGGCTGCGAAGGGCGGAGGCGGATCCGTGGCCGCTGGGCGGGGCGCGCGCGTCGGAGCCCCTCCCACCCGCGGAGGGGGCGAGGCGGCACGGCTCTTCCTCGGGGCTCCCCGCGGGCGGGGCTCCTAAGGGGCGGCGGGCCTGGATTGTCTCCCAACGCGGAGGTTTCCCTCGCTGGCAACTTTCACACTTCAACTCCCAGAATTGCTCAGCCAGCACGGGTTTGCGTAATGGCTGGTGGGAGTTGAATACCACAAGTCTTAAAACGGGTTCTCAACCTTGGCAACTTTAAGACTTGTGGACTTCAATTCCCAGAATTCCTCAGCCAGCTTTGCTGGCTGAGGAATTCTGGGAGTTGAAGTCCACAAGTCTTAAAGTTGCTAAGGTTGAGAACCCCTGTCTTAAAAGTTGCTAAGGTTGGCGAACCCTGCGCAACGGGCAGGCCGCTCTTCGCCTCGGCCGCGTCCGTAGTTACGTGTCAGGGCGCACCGGGTAGATGCGTCGGGCTCCGAGACCCATATCATTGCCCTCGGACATGTTGCGATGCAATCTGTTTCACGTGCACCGCCAGAGTACCTTTTGCCCGTTAAAAGGCAGGCAGGAATTTCACTACTGTTAACATCTGACCTGCTCTTCCTCTGAACAGGAAATGATCTTTTTCTCCTATGGGATCGGCTGTTTTTAACCTAATAAATTTAGATTGCTGAAATTTTAAAAACAACCATGGTTTGCAGAAATCACTCGGACCTTCCCATACTCTAATAATTTGCTTCTGAGTTTTCTGTAAACGTTTAATTTTATTTAACTTGTTTATATTTGATGTGTTCTTATCTCTTAAATATTGGACTATAAATATAAAACTCTCATCCAACTTAGACCCCTGTAATGCCCTACTCACTACTTCCGTTCAAACGTGCAATGGACTCATCAATACACACAGGCTCCAATCATTCAACTAATTATATTCAAGCTAAGTATTCTAGCACTGATGTTATCTATTTTAGGTAACGACACCTTTGCATAAAAACAACCGAGCTCAGAGACAACCAAGGTCCTCTAAGTAGACTCATCTAATGGTGCTATAGAACAGCCCACACTTGGACATCTTTTCTACTAGCGGTATAACCAGAGTCTTGCAAACTGAATGCTTCACAAAATCAGAGAATGACGCTGGAAACCTCACCAAGCCAAACCAGGAACTTGAGAGGAACCGTAATTGAGATGTGTTTGAAGAAACCGCAATCATTTTATGTCAAAGCCGAAGCTGCAGTGACTCGTGCCCTCTGCAATGCAGGCGAGGAGCGCAGAGCCCACACGGTTCTTCTACACAAATCTAAAAGTTGCGAAGTCTGGAGACCCCTGTTCTAAACGGGTTCTAAGTAAAGGGGGGGGGGTGTCACTGCTTTTGTTTGGGGTTTTATCACTGTAAGAAGCTCGGAGACATCGAGTCAGTCCCGGAACTGAGGCTGCTCCGCTAGACCCGGGTCGCGGCGACCTGGCCTCCCGCGGGGGAGAGGGGAGCCGTCGGGGCACGTGAACCGAGCGGCTCAGCCTTGCCTGCCGAGCCGCCGTCCAGGAGACTGAGGAGGACGGGGGGGGGCAGGCGCGCCCGCGACGCCGCGCGCGCGGCAGGCTTCCAGGCGTCTCCAGTCGGAGGTGGGGCGTACGACCGTTGCCATAGCGAGGCGGCATTGCGTTGCCGGGACAACGGGCGGCGTCGAGGAGCCGAGTGCCGGGCTTCGGAGCGTTGAACGGGCGCGCTCGACGGGCCGCGTTCCCTCGGACGCCTCGCCGTCGGCGGAAAGCAGGAGAGACGGAAGTATCGCTGGCGCAGCTCCGAACGCAGCTCTAGAGAAGCCGCCGTCGCCGTCGGGGACCTTCCGGGAGGCGTTTCAGGGATCGCCTCGTCGATCCGCTGGGTGGGGTCTGGGCTTGCCCCTCCAATCCCAAACACCCCCCCCGACGTGCGGGAAGGCTCGGCCGTCGGTGGGCTAGGCGGCGAGCGGGCGGGTTCTGCTAGACGTCTGGAGCGGTTGGGACTTCCTCCCCGTCTGCAGCTCCGGCTTTTACAGCCTGGAACCCTGAAATGCCAGTTTACGCAAAGGCCTTTGCCCCGGCGGGGGTCGGGGGGGGGGGTCGGGAGGTGGTGCGAACTCCGCCCGCGGGAACTTCCGCGCAATTCTTCCCGCTTTGGGCTGGAGGGAACCTGGGAGGCATCTGACCAGGGACCGGTCTATTTCTCATTGACAGCCCATATAATACTATGCATTTCAGATAACTCCCCTGTTTTAAAGAAGCTTATTGTTCTTCTTTCAGAGGCTGACAAAGATGCTAACAGAGCGAGGCCGGAAATCGCTGCTTCCTTTGAAGCTACCAGAAGGATTTCAGAGCAAAGTGGTTGCACCTCGCAATGCAAAGTTGGTTACAGAAGAAAAGAAGGATGTTCTGGTATGTTGCTTTTTAGGGGTCACAGCCTTTGGGGATGAATGGGCACATGCAGATATTTGAAAATGTGTCATGAGATAAAGGAAAACTTCCTTGGGATGTCCTTGACACCTGGTGACTATATGGCCTCAACTGTGTTGTTTTCTTAACAGCATTAATGGTTTGCCATTGCCTTCTGCTTTGCTGATTGTTGACTTCCCAACATTACGACAATACTTTATTAAACTTGCATGTCAGCCAGCAAAGAAATTACAATAAAACCAATAAATTACAAAAAAATTGATAGCAAGTATGATGACTAGAGGGTTTTCACGCTTCCTTGCTGAAGGCCTGGGTGATGGTCTGGTCATCAACCTTGGGATTTCTTGATGGTTTCCTATCAGTGTCTGAAAACACTCATTTTCCAGAAAGTAAACTGGAATGATAAGCAAAAATAACCTAGAGGCAGTTTGGTCTAATAAAGCACCATGCCAGAAACCAGGAAGCTGTGTGTTCTAGTGCAGGGATCCTCAACCCCTGGTCCATGGACCAGTACTAGGCTGCGACATGCCAGCAACCGGTCCACACAAACAAACAAAGTCCCATCCACTGAATGCAGGTAGCGCACAAAACCACGCACCCTCTGGTCCGTGGAAAAACATCTCTTCATAGAACCGGTCCCTGGTGCCCAAAAGGTTGGGGACCTCTGTTCTAGTCCTACCTTAGGCATGAAAACTGCTGGGTGATTTTGGACCAGTTCCTCTCTCTCAGTCCAATTCATCTCACAAGTTGTTGTAGTTGGGGAAAAAGGAGGAGGGTGTATTGGATATGTTTGTCGCTTGAGTTATTTATAAAAATAATAAAGCTAAATAAAAAAAATCTTAAAAAATAGCATAACCAAAAATGCAGTTCCAAAATAGGTCTGAAGTCTGAGATTGAACTTGCATTTTTCAGATCCAGCACCAATTCATTGAGGAGTGTCAGGATGATATAAATCAGGGGTTCTCAACCTTGGCAACTTTAAGAGTTGTGGACTTCAACTCCCAGAATTCCTCAGCCAGCACTGGCTGAGAAATTCTGGGAGTTGAAGTCCACAAGTCTTAAAGTTGCCAAGGTTGAGAACTCCTGATATAAATGGACCCAAGAAATGAAATGCTGGTAGTCCTTGATTTAAGATGGCAGTTGGAACTGGAATGTCCATCGCTATACAAGTGATGGCGATCCCTGCAGTCCCAGCAAGTGCCATTACCCAAATTCCATGAATCCCATAGTCCTTAGGCAAGGCAATTTCCTGCCAGCTTCTCACACCAAAGTTTCAATGAGGAAGCAAGTAGGAAGTGGCAAGTCCCAGACTGGCAGTTGCCAGGTGGGGGAAGGAGCAAGGGGACATGGGGGGGGGAGCAGGAAATCACAGGCAAGACTGGCAGTGCAAGAGGGGAGAAATGGGAGGCTCAAGTCAGGGAAGGTGCACCAATTGGTTGAGGGAGAAGTGCAATGAGATCTAGGGAGGGTGCAGGGAACTTCAAGTCAGTGTAATGCAACATAAAGAGTGCAACCTCTCCACAATTATCCATTTGGAGATGGCTTTGTTCAATCTAAGGAAAATAGGGAGGCATAGAAGAATGCTGCAAATTAATGTTATTACAAATGAAAGCTCCAATAATTGAAATGGGCAATCTGCAATTATGACTTTTTAAAGGGTTTCAGTGGAAAATCATCATTCTTCTTGGACTCCACCACAACCAACGGTAAGCCCATCTCATGGAACAGCAGGAAGAGTCAATCTTGCTGAAGGTTTTTGATGTACTTTTGCTTCTCTTTACAGCTGACACCCTCAGCTTTTCTGGAAGAGATGTCTCTCACAACGGAACAAAGGCTAGCAAGCACCCATGAAGTACACTTGCCTCGCATTATTCAGCTTTTGGACATGAGTGAAACCTCACACCAGAAAGTAAGTATTTTCTTCCACTGCAGTGCAGGACCTGTGGTGCTTCTTGCCATACACAGGCATGGAAAAGTTTTTGCTTGCCACATTAAATGCAAGGGGTATATTGAAAGAAAATTAATATTTCAAAAATTGTTTGATTTTTTTTACCAAAAAATAGGGCACAGGATTTTCTTATCTTAAAAAAGATAAATATTTGTATATTTTTTACATTAAAAAAGAGAAGAGATGCCAAAGGTAATATGAATTGTTTGAGAAATTCT